GACCCACTCCCCATATTAAGTCCCCTCCCCAAACAAACCCCCGTCGGCTTCCGAGTCTTGAAACTGCTTGATTTTCACGAGGTGCCTTTTTTTGTCTCTCTTTCCCTGAGCCGATGTGTCAGGTTTTTGGGGAGCAAATGATCTTCTGACATCCTTATATTGCCACCTGTTGCCACGGATACACCCCCAGCCCATATGATCAAACCGAGTGATGTAACAGACAACGCCCCCTCCCCCGATTGTGTGCATTTAAAGAGGGGTTGAGATGGGAGTTGCTACCCCCCAGGTGGGGTCTGGAGATCTCCTGTGTGCATTTAAAGAGGGGTTGAGCTATGGAGATCTCCTGGAATCGCAACTGATCTCCAGACAGCAGAGATCCCCCTGGAGAAAACAGACCCAGAGGAGTTAGCTGTTAGTCTGCTGCTGCCAAATTGTAAAAAGCCCAGTAGCACCTTTAAGACGGACAAACTTTTTTGTAGCGTGTTGTACACACTGTTTATATGTAACACTGTTATGCACTCAGCACTCTGTCTGCCTTAATAGACTAACCTTAGGAGACTCCGTTAGCACTTATGACATAGACAGACAGACAGATATGTTAAGTGCCATCGATGATTCTAATCACAGAAACAGAAATCAATCATGAACATCTATTCAGATAGTCACTTTGGTTCATTGCTGAAAGGCATTCTGGGGGAAAATACTAAATGCTGACAGGCAGTAACTGACTGACCTTGCTTATAGTGGCCAGTTGGAATTGCGCATGCCCCTGATGTCAGCTCGCTTGCGTTAGATGAACACACCACCATGTACCCATCTCTGCTACATTAAGATACTTTTTTGTTAACTTCACAGCCTGAAAAGAAGGCAAATTGTTCAACTAAAGGAGGTATCTTTTTGCCTGAGAAAAAAGCCAACCCACAGGTTGGAGCCCAATCAGACTGGTGTGACGGATATGTGACAAAGTTTGATGGAACCAATAATTATGATTTATTCCTAACTGTCATAGGGGGTATAAAATTTTATGTCTCCCCTTGTAACCTTGGGGAAGAGCTGTGGGTATACGAGGATACAAAACCTTTTTGTGCCTCTTTTTCCCCCCCCCCCCTTTATTAATAAAGTTCAGCTTGGATTCCACTCTACAAGACTGCCGAGTGCTTTCTCGAATTGGGCCGGGGAAGCACAACCTGTGACGGAGTTTCTGTCTTACACAAGCTTTTGAGAAACATGGCTCTCGGCCTGATTTATAAATCGAAATATGCATATCTCGGCGTTCCTCTTGGTTCAACACTCATGCACCTGTGTAATAAAGCTGGTGTTCTTGGCCAAGCTAGCTGGGACCTCCAAGGAATACCAGGGTTGGGACGCAGAGGCAGGCAATGGCAAACCACCACTGAATGTCTCTTGCCTTGAAAACCTTTCAGGGTGACCCTACACTGTGACTTGGCGGCACTTTCCACTTGCCAGCAGCTCAAGTCGACTCTCCCCAGAAGCTAAAATGACCAGAGGCTATCGTACTTCGGCCACATGATGAGAAGACAAGAGGCGCTCGGAAAGACGATCGTGCTAGGAAAAGACAGAAGCAGCAGGAGGAGGAAGACCCGACGTGAGATGGAGTGACCCGATCAAGGAAGCTACGGCCTTCGGTTTGCAAGACCTGAATGCTGTCAGCACTAGGGCGTTAGAAGCAGTGTTCCCCCTAAGCTGAGTTAGTGTGAGCGAGCTCACTGTTTTTTAGCCTCTGGCTCACACGTTTTTGCCTTAGCTCGGGAAGGATGGCTCCAGAGCAAACTCATTGATGTGGTCGCCAAATCGCTCGCTCACAACTTTAATGCCAGTCGCTCACAAAGGAGAGTGTTTGCTCACAAGGCCCCACAGCTTAGCGGGAGCATCGGTTAGAAGCTACTGGAAGGTATTTCTCTCTCTCTCACACACACACACGACGTGGAGGTCAGACAACCCGAGCTAAGCCCCGCCCATTAACGAATTCACACCGCTTTCACAGTTTTCCTTTTATTGAGAAAAAAAAAACATTTTAGAAAATGGTAGTTGTGTGTGGGACAGAAGGAAAAGATCATTTCAGCAAGGAGGGGGGGGGGGACAAAAACGGAACCGTACGAGATGAGACACAGGTGGAGTGAATTGCGAACGGCCCCTTCTTCTAACCTGGACGAGACGCCTTCGCCTTGAAACACCCCCCCACCCCCCGCCCCATGGATTTATCTTCCCTCATAGCCAGCATGCTCCCCGCAACTGATAAAATGTTTTCTATTAAAAAAACATGCAGAATCCTCTCCCTTTCCTGATGAATACAAAAATAAAGAAAACTCGCTGGCCAATAGAACTGGAATGAGACCGCATTTGCCCTGAATTCCTAAAGTAAAAAGGTAGCAGCGCCCCCCCGCCCCCCCTGCAGCCATGTTTATGTGCGGAATTTTACACAGCTTTCATACAAAACACAGCATTTCGAGAAAAGTAGAATCACACACAGGATCAAGCAGCACCTCTCGGTCTCGAAAGTCCTTCGCAAGTCTGTGGTAACAAAGTCAGGTGTGACGTCTCGACCCACTGTGGGGCCGGCCTAGGCAGACTCTTGCTCCTGTCTTTCTAGAGGGAATGGAAATGGGGGGGGGGGGGGGGAG